ACTTTAGCTATTTTTTGAGGTAAAAATAAAAAATATTTGTTAGTAAAATTAAAAACTTTTATATGTAAGAAAAATCATGTATTTTACTAATTACAATTAGTAAAAAATTTAAGCATTGCATTACTTTTGATGGCCACTGTATTTCAGATTAATAAATTAATATTTGTAAAAAACTTTTCTTTATATATATATTTTTACTAATTCTTTTTATTAATTATAACAGATAATAAAGAAAAATGATTAATCTTATTATGATTTTTCTTTTCTTACTAGCAAGAGCAAGAAATAACAACATTTTTTTATCATTATTATAATCTTAATCATCATTAACAATATTATTATTACTATTATTATTAGTAATAATACTTTACAAGAATATTACAATTGCAACATATCTTACTAATTAATATCATATTATTTAATAATAAAATAATGACGATTAACAATATTAATGCCTAGATGCCGGAATGTGTACAATCAAAATTTAAGATTTTATATTAAATATTTATTTTTTATTAGATGTTCAAATATTAGAATAGTTAGTAATTATAAAAATAACATGCATGATATATGAGTAAAATTAATTTATACGCGTTCAATGCTTTCGAAACAAATTTTAATAATAACATCACGTAAATAGAAAAAGTATGGCACAAAAAGATTATAATAGACAATTAATGAAAGCTATTCGCTTATATAGAATAACTTTCTGATTTTAAAAGATAAAAATAAAGAAATTATATATACATGGAAAAAAGAATTGATCATAAACATTTGCTCCCAAAAATTAATACAAAAAAATTTAATTAAATCCATGAAGAGTCATATGCACGTTTCTGTGCTAATGTCAACTCGGGTACAACAGGAATTTGATTGCCTTCAGGTGGAACTTGAATTGCTAATGGCGGTATTTCAGGAATATAAAGAGATTCCACTTCCCGATTATTAGATTCAGACAATAATCGCGATTTACGTAAGACGTTAACCTCAAAATTAAGATCAGAATCCTCTTCATTATTAATGGCGTAAATGATATCCGCGTCATCTTGAGGACACTCTGAATCATCATCTTCATCGTCATCATCCTCAATATCCGCATTTTCAAATTGTGCGGTGTAAAGATGAGGTTGAGCGTCATCCAGTTTTTCTGTATGGTCGACACCAAATTCTTGTTGAAATTTTTGCACAAAGTCGCGATAATTTTCTTCGTCATCATTAACTGCTTTGGTTTTTGTTGCGAAAGCTGCAGCTTTTAATTTCTCTTTGGCTGCCAATTTTCGTGCTGCAATTTCTGCATTCTTTGCTTCCAAAGCTGCGATCTTTGCTTTAATCGATTGAGGCGTCTCTCTTTTTATTGTTGATGATGATGATGGTTGTTGTGGTTCTTCAATTGTTGTAATCGAGTCTACCGGTTTATCGAATTTCTCTTCACTTATTGGCGCTGGCTTTCCTTTTACTACAGCAGTTTTATTTTCAATATCCGGAGAGATTTGGGATGCATCTGAATGTGAGATCAATTGAGCAATTGATTGTTGATATTCCGACTCGTCCTCTTCTTGTGACGATTGTAATATTTCAGCAATGGGAGATAAAGCAACTCGGAATGGCGTTGGAATCATCAATTCCTCAGGTGGGCTGTTAATTTCGGGGACATCTTCCGAAGCAATAGATGAAATTGGGCTAGGGCTTAGGATAGCATTTAACCGATCGTCTTCCAAGAAAGAAGTATTATCGGCGCTATTTTTAGAGACTCCAGCATCAATTTTTGGCGTTGCTTTTTCGCGGAATTTCAGTTTTTCACTGTAAATAACTACGTCGCCACCACCCGGAACATATTTAATGTTATCAAGAGAACCAACTCGCGATTTCACGTTCTTGAGATCTAATTTTGACGTAAAGACTTGAGGATTGCTTTTTCTTTTTGGAACGAAGTTAATATTCTCACGAGAGCTGACTTTCGATTGCACTGACGTGAATTTAGGTTTCTTTGAGAAAATCTTCACATCTCCGCCTTTATTTTTTTCATTATTATTATCGCGATTGATAGAAGATTTAACATTGTCGATTTTTGGATCATTTCGAGATGAGATGTCAGAAGTTGATGAAGCAGAAGAAAATTCAATATCAGAGCTATTACTAGAAGAAACTCTTTTACTTGTGCCACCACCTTTTGGCGTATACTTAATATTATCAAGGGAGCCGACACGTGATTTCACGTTAGAATAATCCGCCTTTTTGGAAAAGACCTTCTTCTTCTCACCGTTGCTGGCGCTTTTTGGAGTATAGGAAATATTGTCCAGAGATCCTACACGTGATTTTACATGGGACAGGTCAATAGGGGATTTAAATGAAGTAGGGTTCTGTGTCAGTTCAGGTTGAGATGGCCGTCGTTTTTTAATGGGAGATGGTGGTGAATTATTATTTGAAGCATTTGTTGTGTTTATCCGAGGAGGCATGCTTTTAGTGGAACGATGTGTTTTACGAGGAGTTATGGTTGGGGATTTAATGGTGGTGGATGCTTTTGGAGAGGATTCGTTTGCTAATGATTTACTAGAGGATACTTTAGGTACGACTTGTGGAACACGGGGATTTGAAATATTCTTTGTTGATAATGATGATGATGATGATGATAATGGCGGTGATGATGATGGTGATGATGAAGTTTTTGTCATTGATCGATTACCTACTAGACCATTTGAGGTTCGACGCGTCTTTTTTGATGTTGTCGGATTAGGTGATGTTGAACCTGAATTTGAAGTTGAAGTTGAAGTCGAAGTCGAATCTGATTTTCGGGAACTTGGCGTGGACACCGGATCATTAGTGTTATTTTTGACACGAGTCGATTTTGAAGTTATTGGTGAAACTTTATTAGGGGAAGACGATTTTGTAGTTTGTGTGGAAGTTTTTGTTAAAGTTTTTGTTGGTTCTTTGGTTCCAATGGAATTTTTGGTACCTGGAGTTGTCTTTTGCGTGTTTGAACCTGATAATTTAACAGCACCTAAAATTCAACATGTTAGTTACCTTCTCAATAATTACGCTGCCTTCCTTTACCATCAACTTACCACTGAACGGAATCCGGGGTTTGACGGGTGCTGTGGTAGTTCTAGGAGACTTTACTGAGTTCACTTCAGTGTTGCTGTTTTCTTTCATTATTACATTAGTCGAACTCATTTTTTTGGGTTCTTTTTTATTGGGAGGGGACATGAGTAAATTGGGTGTTGGTAAAGGAATAATGAAGGTGGTGATGATTATAATAGAAAAACGTAATATTAGGAAAATGTGGTTGGTAGTATTATATAATGGGTATGTTTAAAAATAAAAGAAAGAATTAATGAGCGTGTGAATGAAAAGACACGAAGAGGACAAAGAATAGGAGAAAGAATAAAGAATGACGGATGAGAAAGAAGGAAAAAACGAGGGAATTTACTATTAATTAATGTGCTTTTCTCCGGGAAATTAAACACAATGAATATAATGATACTTACTGTTTTGCTTGTGCGTCTTTTATGATGTCTGTGATATATCGATATCGGTATTATTAGTATTATCATGATTGATTGATTGATGTAATGTATGCAGCTGTACGATAAAAATTATTAAAACGTACCTTTTTTTAACGACCCGCTGTTCGTTGTCTTGTGTTGTCTCTCTCGTTATTACGCTACGTTTCTTTATTTGGATGTTAGTATTGATTTTTCCTTGATAATTTCTAACGTCGTATACACAAAATTGTAAGGAGGTTCCAATGCTCCTCTGTTGCATTTACCTCTATTCTTACTCGACTTGTTTCTCACGTTCTTTGCTTACAAAGAAAATAGAGATGCAGCAGCTAATAAAACACGTAATTTAATATGCAAAAGAAAAAGAAGATATTTACTTATTAAAAAAAAAATTAAAATGTCGAAAAAGAAAAAAAAGCGAATCTACAACTTTGAATCATCACTAAATCATTTTTTTCCGAAAGAGAAAAAGGGGAGGGGGTTAAAATCGAAGTTCTATGATTCGAGTAACAATGGTCAAATAAATCAACTACCAAAAGAATTAAGAATTTCAAAAGAAATCGTGAGTTGAATGATGGTTATATGAAGTTTGTCTAGTCTTTCGTTCGGGGAAAAAAGGAAAAAAAGTTAGGTACAGAGCATACACATATATATATATATATATATACGTATAACGAGGAAAACTGGTGTCAGCGTGACATATTATTACAAAAGTATTAAAATTCTTTTAATACGATGCCCAGCATCACAGGTTACTAAACCATAATAAAAAAATACCCCCGATCTAATACATACAATAAACAAAATCACTTGGGATAACATTTTTTTATTTGCCTTCTATTCATAAAAATAAAAAACAATAGAGTTTCACACGTTAATTAAATTTTCATATGTTTCACGTTCATTAGTTAAAGAATCCCCACAATCTACTCCTATCACTTTATTATGCCCATGTGGCGATTATATTGAAAATTACATCATTTAAATAATTTGTGGCACCAAAACAATGAATGATTAAAATGAATTTATTTTCCTATAATTACAAGATGAGATTATACAAAATGCAATGATTTACACAAAAAAGAAATTACAACTGAAAGCGTTCTAATTCCCCTAGTAAAATAAATACCAATAATAAATAAATAATGTTTAGAGACTTATTATTCTATTTTTGCAGCTACCAAACGAGGATCACTCATTTTGGCAATTACTCGATCCATGCTCTCTCTGCCATTACGCGCTGGAATTGTTTGTATTCTTTGATGTGGCAAGTATTCTGGGTAATTAACCACAAGATAATTGATCTGCTTTATCAATTATATCAAATAAATAAAAATCATTAATTAGATAATTGGCGGCGAAATACCAAAGGTCAAACAAAATAATACTTGCGATTTTTTCTCGAATTTCTTTTTTTAATTTATTTCCTTCTGCGAAGGTAATTGCCTATTAAGAATATAAAACCATCAGTGGCTTCATTCATTCATTTGTTCATAAAATGAAAGGTAAAATTAAAAATTACCGTCATTGAAGCACTTAATTGCAAGAAAGTTTCTTTTGCATCAGAAATCTGTGACAAAACATAAAGTTAAAAATTTTCCCTCAAAAAGAAAAATTAGCAAGCAAAGAAACAAACATACATCCAGACTTCCATTACGATGATCCCAATGCTCACTAGCCTGCAAATATTCATGAAATTGTTTACGTAAATCCTCCAACGGAACACCGTAATCAACAAAAAGGTCAAATGTCACGGTGATATTTTCTCCATTACGCGATAAATTTTCAAACGTTCCACCGATTACTCTTGTAAGTGGAATTATCAGGTGTCTTTCGTCGCCGGTTTTTATAACAATATATTGTGCTTGAATCTCGGCTGGATTTTTATTTGAATAAATTAGCTTAATAAATTTTAAAATTTCAGATTCATCTTAATAATAGTTATCAATAACACTCACTAACTGTTCCTGTTTGATTATCAAACCTCACAATATCATCAATAAGTAAAGGTTGGGTCAATGCAATTTGCACGGACGCGATTAAATTCTAAAGATTACAAAAGTTTAAAAATTAAAATAAAAAATAAATAAAGCATCAAAAAACTAATAAAAGAAATACCTCTAAAGTTGGTTTAAGAGCCAACCCAAGGAATAACGACACGACACTAGCGCTAGCCAACAAAGCTGCTCCAAATTCCCTAGCATTTGGAAAAGTGAATACTATACCCGAAGAGCCGATCACAAAAATTAACCCGTACAACACTCGCGTGGTCACCACTAATTGTGTTCCCAATTTCCGAGCATGCACATCATGTTCACCCTTTTTGAAATTGGGATTTCGTGCAAGTGCACGTGAACCTGCTTTTACCACGTTTATCGCGGTCCATGTTATTGATCCAATGAACAAAAGTAGAAATGTGTGATTGATCGGATCTAGCACAGATGGGTCTACGTTGGTGACGAATTGAAATGTAAGTAAAATTGATCCTACGGGGAATAAGATCAATGTCGGAAGATAACTATAGGGAGAAGATTAGCATGTTTAAAGTATTTCAACACCCATCCTTACGCGTTCATTTTTTTCCCCGGAAGTTAAATGAACATCAGCTTTATAGAAAATAAAGAAACTCTCTTTACCATAATGTGACAAGTTCATTATCGAATTGGAAGTGTGACATTTTAGAAAATCGACTGTCAAAAAAGGAATATAAATTCAATCTTTGACTTAATTTTAAAACTGCGAAAAAACACTTGGCACCTACGTAAATATGAGAGTGAGGATAGAATGCACGATAATAGAACTTAAAGCGATACATCCGATAACAATTAACGGGACAAGATGGTGGTTATTCCCAAATGAGAGGGCCGGGACATCATAACTGGTATTATTCGAACTCATATCTCTTTAGTCAGTTGTTGGTTGGTTTGTATATATTTTATAAAAGATTTCTATTTTATTTCTTTAAGATGTATAAAGTAGTCAGTCTCTTCTTGTTTCGTAATGTATGTATTGTAGTAGCTTAAGAAATTGAAAAAAAAACCACCAGGGTCTGGACTCTTTATAAATATACACGAAAAATTAGCTTTTTTCTGTTGATTTTATTCTTGTGTGTTTGTTATTTCAAACAGTGGGAATTCTTGTTTTTATTATTGTGTTTGTTTCCTTTGCATAGTGGATTTTTTTGTTTTATCACAGTGCGTTTATGGATAACGAAATTTGTATGTATTATATGCGCACTTGTAACGCACGCATTCTTAATATCCGAACAATCAATCGAATAAATTTTGTACAATAGAAGATTCTGTTTTAGAAAGAATGCTGGCATTCTTATTTGCTGATTTTCATTACCCATATGTATGTCGTGTAATAGGGATCGCTCATCTCTGCACTTTTTTTTGAGGGCTTCTTTTAAATAAGGCAGCAGCAACAACCTGCATTACGAGTTCCTTTTTCTTGAAATTTTATTTTCTTGAATTTCGTATTTCTCATGAGTTTACTTAGTTCACTCGAAGGTCTCGCTACCCAAGCTATTAAAGCAAAGCTTGCCGCCTCTCAAGGTGGTGGTGGAGATGACGAAGAATCTGGATCTGGATCTGAAGAAGAAGGTAATATGAATGCTTAATAGATAGTTGTAAATATCAAAAATATCGTCATTCGACGCGAGAATAAATATATTCTATTGAAATGTTATATTTACTTGAATAATTTACAAAATATATTGCACGTATATTCTTTGAACAGAATATTTTTATTCTCATTAAATAAATAAATAAATAAATAAATTCATACTCTATTAACTGTAAAATTAACCTACTTTACATCAATCAATTCAATTTTATTAATATAGCTCCATCAAGACCACCACCGAAAAAAGGTTTTTTTTTACAATATACACATGCATAAAAAAGTATATGCATGCATTGTGAAGGTTTAATTAACCCAGCGATGTTTTTATTGTCATTAAATTAAGGAGGGCGTCGTCCTTCAACACCGGATGTTGGAGATGCTCATAAAATTGCCGCTGAACATTCCGGTCATGATCAAGGTATTTAAAAAAATTTATTCAGATGAAAGTTTAAATTTAACAAACTCTATCAACAGTATCAACATTACAATTAAATTTATTTTATAAATAAAAATTAAGAACTCTTCGAAAACGCGTTAAACAAAGCTAAAACCAAGCTTTCGCGTAAACAAGCAGAAGGAGACGAGGATTCTGATGAAGACGTCAATGCGGAACATTACGAGAAAATGCATCAAAAAATTTACAAGAAAGTCGAAAAAAAGGAGCAACGAAAACAAAAGGTAGAGGAGGAGGAAGAAGAGGAGGAGGAAAGTGAAGAGGAGGTAAGATTATCATATACCATTTCTTTTTAATTACGATATTAAGAATACAAAATAAATTTAATCATAACAGGAAGCACCCTCGTCATCTGGTCTTGGCGGAGCTGCTGCCTTACAAGCGTTAAAGATGTTCTCTGGTGGTGGTGGTGGTGGTGATAGCGGCAAAAAAGAAATGCAAACGCAACTTGTTGGTATGGCGATGAGCGAAGCCGTAAAATTATGGGAAGGTAGGCAAAAATTTAATGTCTATTATTGTTAATCTGATTTTTCGTTCATTAACAAACTCATGTTATTTGTATGTAGCAAAAAAAGGTGGCGGTGGTGGTAGTGGTGGCAGTAAAGAGGAGGTTGTTACTCAAGCTGCTACTATGGCGATGAAAATGTTAGCTGCAAAGAAAGGTGGTGAAGATGGCGGTGGCGGTGGTTTGGCTAGTTTGGCTTCAAAGTTCTTGTGAGGCTCTTCATTTTTATTTATTGTTTTAACTATTGTCTTTTAAAAAATTTATTTGTCGGCAATTTTCGTGTGTATATGGTATTTCGCGAATAAAAGTTTTGTTCATAATCAGATCATATTGGATATTAATTTGATATTTGAACAGGAAATCACATCAAAAAAGAACGCTTGGCTTAAATGCTAATGTTATGGATTAATCAATTTTTTTACACTTAAGCTGACTTTCTCAACTCACACAAATTTATCCTTTAGAAAAATATATCTGCACCATCAGGAAAATATCTTATGCTTATATCTAAATCGGAAAGAAAAAAGCGTTTATCTATCGCACGCCTAAATCTATTTGTTCTACTACTTCTACTTTTACTACACAAATAGCAAACTTAGTAATAGATAGATTAAAAAACTATGGAATAATATGAAAAAGAATCCGAAGAACCCAAAAAGCCCATGGAATATCTCTAAGTGTCTGATATCTCGATAATGCAAGCTAAAATGTCGAGGATGCTCTGCTAAATACCCCTATTCCCCGCGAATGCTCCGATTACTTCGATAATATCTAGTCCCCCATTAGTGCCCTGTTGATGACCAGAAGCCCCGATAGAAGTGCGCCCAGAGTGAATGCAAAATTCTGAGCGCGTGAAACCACTCTTCAAATACATTTCCCCATATTTACCTATTTACCCCTCCTTTTGCAAATTGCGGGTTTTCAGTTAGATATATAATTGATGCAGAACACTATACAGTTGTTATTTATATTCCGGGGTCAAAATCACTATACAACCTTGTCTTTCAAAAGGACAAGAGACTTGTACCTTTCCTGGCGTTAGAACGTTGTTTTGCTTGACTCGTATAAGTGAGCACTTATGTCAAGCAAAAAACAGCATTTCCGACTCTGAAGATGCCAAAATCTAGTTTGGTGTACTAATAAAAATGTCGGGAAGGCAATTTTATCTTCAGTCTTAGCCCTAACCTTAAATCATCAAAATATAATTTTTCCTAAAAAATCTGTCATTGTGTCCGGAAAATTGGGTCGGAAGATACAAAAATTAATTTTCAAATAAGGTCAGGATTTATATACTGTGCAAACTACCCTAGGTATCTTACATTTTACCCCCATGTAAATTGATTTATACCCAGGAGGTATATTATGAAGAGAAAGGGTCTTTTATATGGGGGGTTTTGTGCAAAGGGGGTATATTACATGGGGGGTATATTAAACGGTGGGTATATTAAATGATGGGTATACTAAATAAAGTATAATCGCCAATGAGAAAGTTTTATCTTGACGCGTAATACAATTTTATTCAAACGCATTTTTATCTTTTTTGACGTGTTTTTTGTTCATATTCAAAATGGCACGTATCAAAACTACTTTACCTCTGACACGATTATCACAAAAAAAGAAGAGACAATGGACTGCAAGGGAAAAGTTAACTATCCTTATGTATCTTGACAAAGTTTCAGATGCTAGTATTCGAGGAATAGCAAACAAATTTACTATTTAACCATGTCAAAATTCAAGAATGGCGTAAAAAGAAAAGAACAACTTATGTTGGCTCAATCTTATAATTAGATCAAAGATTTATAAAAAAAATTAAAAGCTATTACTTTTAATATGATTCAAATTAAGTCAAGAAATCTGGCAAAAACCTCCCAATATATAGAAATATATTCTGATATTAAAGAATTCAAATAGAGTAACAAATGAATTGATAATTTTATGAAATGGCATAATCTTAACAATTATCATCAAACAATCATAGCATAACATTTATCTGAAGATCTTGAAGTAAAATAACATGAGTTTTTGAACTATTACATTTAATATAATTATCTGCTTACTTTAATTAGAAACATAAATGAAATATTATTAACTTTTGATATTTCAAGCATTATAATAATTAAAGAAATTGGATTATGTATAGTTGATATTTGGACTTGTAATTATGAAAAATCAAGTTTTATTATTATATTAATATGTATAACTGATAATATAAAATTATTATTAATAATAATTTTCAAATTCAAGAATATTTCTCATTTTAACTTTTCATTTGATATGATTTTTCAAATAAATAAAGAAGATTAGATGAATGTTAAGAAAATATTATATTAGATTAAATATATTTGAGTTTATTATATTATTATAATATGAACTTTTGGTAAAATATTAATTAATTATTTATTATTAATCACTTTATATAAGATTATTTTATTAATATTTGTAAACAAGATAAAATACGATATGAATAAGTTTTAATTTTATAACTTATGATTGTTTTTATTATTTAAAAGTATT